AACGCGTTTTCTTACTTTGACAAGGTGCACTTATTTGTGCACAAATGTTCATCGAACTGACAAATTTGAATAATTATTTTGTCGTCTAGACCGTAACTCGGTTACCCAATAGTTTGGGTTTGTAATCTGTGATATTTTTGCTTGGCAGATTTTATTCATTCATTGTGTTTTTGTTAAGTAATGACCCATCCTTCGTAAGTCAAAGCTCCAGCATTGCATGACACTCTTGAGACTTATATCTATTTGGGTAACTAGATTCACCCCGTTGCTCTCCTGGGTGATGTATCACATTTTAGATTATTTAGCCCTGATAAAGTTTCATCTTTTTTTCGAATGTATACCGTCATCGAACTCCTATCTTCAAACTGTTTGCGGGTAGCAGAATTTTCTTCAACGATAAAATTCATCTTGCTATTTTAAGGTCTAATCTATGGACAGCCAGGAGAGTGTTTTACAACAGTTACAATACATTATGCGAAAAACGAGAGTATCCATTTGCACAATACTCACTGCATGCATGCATTTCAAGATTCTTGTCCGTACATGCAACAAAAAAATGCGTTAATTCAAACACCTGTGGTGTCATGAGTTTTGAAAGCTTGTTATTATGCAGCCTGCACAGAAGGGGTTTAGTTCTATAAGCGTTACAAGGCAAACAAGCATGTGACGAGGTGAGATCTCATGAAATGGCATGCATGGTGCGTTCTAACGCCATGTTCCCATTTAATCAATGTGATAGAGAGTGCACTAAGATGGACAGACCTGAAACGTGTTTCTCTAGGTCACGTGAAATGTTCTACACAACGCACTGAAACATGTTTGAAAGAAGTCTAGAAGATGTCGGTGGGGTAACTGGCTGCGGTCTAATAGGCTGCACTTGGGTTGGCCCTTCACTTGCAGGAGCATTAGAGCATCACCGTTACAGAGTACATGTATTGCACCTCAGGTTCAGAAGTATGCTTTCGGGTTCATTGATTTGCGGTGGTCTGTGACGATGAGCACGGCAATGATGATGCTTAAGATCTAGATTACTACGGGACGGATTAAGCCGTGATTAGCACTCGAGAAAGCAACTGACTGACAGACGCGTATATTACGAACGGAATAAAGCAAATTGCCACGGAGTCTCCGGCTAATTATCTGTGAAAACATTACAGTCTATAAAGCCTTTGGGATATCTACCGTTCTGGATGAGTTAACTCCAAATTTGAAGAGTAGCTAGTTCAGGATTGAAGTCGAACTCTTTTAAAAGTTCAAAGGGGAAAGTTCTTTCAAAGTATACGCGGGCACCAAGTATACGTTGAATGTCAGGACGTTGGTTTATCTTACATTACAGAGGGAGCAAAAATTGAGAGAAGAAACTTATTGTTTATTTTACAGACCTTTTCAATATTTTACCAGTGAACAATCACGTAATAAAAATAGTTAACTTTTAGACTGGCTTACAGGTTTTCAGAATTTTGGCCAGAATGGCTAATAATTCATCACAATTATCTAATATTATTTGTTTGTGCACCCATCTGTTCCTCAGGATGTGCCCATCCTGGGATAATGCCTTTGCGAGTCGGATCAACCGATTGTTCCGCAAAGCTACTAATAATTGATGTCGCTAATAGATGAATGGCAAACTTAAAAAGATTATCTTTATTTATTCTCAGATAGTTCACCGAAGGCTTCCTATTAAAATAATTAATTTTAGGAAGTGTTTAGATGTAGTAAATCGGCACTTAAATTGTTCCGGAGAATATGGTCATATATGAAGTGGTTTTAATTCACCTGCGAGTTAATACCTAACTGCAGGATAGTTAAGTGCAATTAGTGTCAAAGTCATGTTCTCTAAATTGATATGTCCTCGCTATCTTGTCCAAACCTCAGGCTTGGATAAACAGGAGGTCAAGCCTGGATTTTCTAACATTAATTATTTACTAACTTAGCCGACAAGCCTAAATAGGTAAGAAGGGTTTGCAGCATTTGGCAGTTCATCGTGGACGATTTGGGAGCTTTTTAGTTTTTTCAAAAACTATCAGTTTAGGCTCAAAATTTAAGAAGACCTTAGACCTTATATCAAGGGATCGTCAATTTTCTGTTAACTTTACTTCTCTCAAACCAATCTTTGCGGCTTCCCATTCACGAAAAATACCCTATAATCAAATCAGACATGCCTAGAAATAACTTAATCACTCCAAAATTTCCTTCTAGATTTATTTTAGTGTGAAGAAGGGGGTGACAAATTAACTACCTTAAGGACAACCAAATGCGCAAAAGTAAGAGTTCCAGGATGGACGTGCGACAACTTCTATTAAAATGAATCTTCTCTCCGCACTAAGCAAAATATCCCTCAAAAGGCAAAGTTGTCATATATTAACTGGCTATTCATCAGTAGCAGAACATTTCAGAGTTATGAGGGAAGGACTTAACCTATTAGGCAACCACACTGGAAGGGCTGAGAGGTTAAAATGGGCCGATGGACAAATGGGCGACTTGTCCTCCGAAATGTATCCAACAGGTCTATGCTACAGTATGTCAACCCGAGACTAAGCAATGATCTTCACTCCGCGGGTTTTGCTTTGCTGCGAACCGTAATTCACATGTTTATTTTCCCAGGCATGACCTTACTGTAATCACAGGTCCGCTCCGTTAGGTAGTGCCAGCAAAGTGACCTGATGCAAAACTGAGTTCACTAAAATTCTCGTTGCATCTTCGCTTCACTCCAGTGGGCTGAAGTTGAGACAGTTGTCGTGATGGCATAAATAGCAGCGTTTCATTAAAAATTATATAAAAGTGAAAGCGGCATACACATATAGCATACACGTGGCCTGTAGAATGCTTGCTTTGTTCATACAGGTTAAGTACTTAATTGCACTTAAACTGGGGTAGCTTTATAAAGTTCTTCCAACTACTCAACATCTCAGAAGTCAAATTGACAAACAAATGTTTTCAGCAATTCGTCATCAGGCCAATACAATTGTAGGGATGAAAACGAACAGATATATGAAGTGTTTAAATGGTCTTCGGGCTTGGGGGGGCAGTGTAATAAGTTATTTTGGTGTTCCTTCGTCCCACGCATGCTGGCGCCAGCGTGTTGAGGACGTTGGGTCCAGTGAGCAGGGAAGAGAGGGGGAGGGATGTTCTCACGGTTGGCGTGCGTTTGGTTATTATCTGTGGCTTCTTGTGGCGTGGGTTCGGCGGCATGGGGTTCAATCATGTAGTCGGCCAAAGTAGGCAAACTGCTGCTACCAGCTCCTCCGAGGACCATTTAAACACAGCATGTAATTGACCGTCTTAATTCCTGCAAATGTATTGGCCTAATGACGAATTGCTGAAACCATATGTTTACCAACATGACTTCTCCATCGTAAAATGGGAATATTTGCAGAAGTACTCAACATTTGTAGATAACTGACTTTCAAAACTCCTCTAAGTAGGACAGAGGTATAGGTCTGCAAAAGGCTTCCATAGTCGACCGAAAACAGCGTTTTGGGCATTTATTCACCACATTCGTGGGAGGAATGTCCATACCTGCTTATTCGCACAACTTGCGATCATATTTTTTATAGTGCTCCTTTAGTACAAAATGAACTTACACTGTTGGTTCTGGTGAAGTGAAGGCATCTGTTTCTATGTCAATAATAACAGGCCACTGTTCTACGTAAAGCTTCTAAAAAGCATTTGCAATCAAACGATTTCCAGAGGGAATCTGGAGATTTTTAATCTATAAACGACATGTATGGCTTCGAAAGGCAAAAACACCGTAGTTGCATAGTTCAATCGTCCTCTCATTGGCTCAAATAGATATCTCTGCAATGCGGGCTTCAGTGAAAGAGCATATACGAAGGTAAGTAAACCATACGCTTGATCTCCTGACAGTTTTGTTAAAATATTTTGACTCTAGATATTTCAAATACTTTTAGAGTAAGTCTAGTTTGACGAGGCTGAAATGCTCTATTTAAAAAATTGCAAATTCCAGGAAAATTATATCCCTCAACACCACTGATGTCCAAATTGCGAGACAGGAACCATTATAAGGAAATTAACTTTCCTAACTGCCGTTATTATTTAATTTACCGAAAAAAGGAGCACATAGATTTAAACGTTGGTAGAATGATTTGAAGGCGCAACTTATCTTAACCCCCTTCCTTCCGCCCATTTATTTAAATGTTATCAGGTATAAGTTCAATGGTGAAAATATTCATTTTTGTAGAAAATGAATATGTGGATATGAACATTTAATTATTCACGTGTATCTGCGTACCTTAGACCTCGAAACCACTTATTACCGTATAGTGATTAGCCTTTAAATCGTATGACAGCGATTCCTCGAAATGCAATGCTAAAATTGCGAATGAGGGCTTATTTCCGCTCGAAGAACTAATATTAAGCTCAATGTGAAAATAAAACAGTTTTAATTTATCATAGACTACGGCCTCGTGATCCAAATTCCAGTGCATAAAATAGAGCAATAAAATAAACTAAGCTTTTCAGGAGTAAAATGTGCATACAATAAAGGGAAACAGGTGTAAAAACTCCAAAGGTATATATTAATCTGTGGTTTGAAAAAAGTTAGCCGTTGATGGGACTATCAAAGGGAGGTGGCAGTTCAACTCGACGCGGCGATCTTGTCAAACTGAACGGCATACTCCTCTAAGATCTGCTTGGAAGCTCGATCATCGGCGGGCAAGATTTTGGCCATGTATCTATTCATTGTGGCACCCATTTCGGCCAGCGTAGTTCGTTTCGGACAGAGATTCATCAGCGCTATGGCCATTTCATGAGAGTCCGTCAAAACGGCCCACATAAAGAGATGCTATTTGACAGACAGTAAGGGGCAGGCATAAAGGTGTGTACAGATTCTACAGATTCCGAAGAAAAGACCATGGGATATAAATAATCAAAATGAGGATTTTTAAAACTATTCCTGACAAACCCGTTGGTGTCAAAAATCAATCATTTTTAAGGGGGCATTTTCCGTTTGTGTGAGAACATAGAAAATCTTAAACACACTTTCGGTGTTGATTTTAAGTAAGACCTAATAAAGTCCAAGTAAGCATCGTAAGAATACGGTCTGCTGAAGCTCACCTTTGCAACATATATTTCATCAGGCACTTACTTTACGGAATGATCGAAATATTAGCGCTTGCACCTCCGTCTGCTGGATGTAAATGCCTGTCTACAGATCTATGCGCCTGCCTTCACACCTTAACGGAATTTGAGTATTAAACTGCATGCATGCGGCATGGTACACTATAATTACAAATTCGCGAATGTCATAAAGATAATTCAATCCCCCCTTAAGGGAGCAAAATAAAGTAAGTAAGCAGGTAAACAGTTTAAAAATACTCCATCGGCACTGAGCTGAGCGCTTTGTTACCAGGGGTAGCAAGACGAATCTTTTTTCCTCAGACTTAGATAAACTTACGACTAATCGTTAACCGGACAAAAAAAACACATTCAACCCCAGCCTGAGTGGAGTTTTAACGTAAAGTCTATTGAAAATACTATTATCTGACGGCTGCGATCATTTGGATGAAGTAGAAGAGGCAGCGACAAGAAGACTGCGGTCGGTGCAATCTTAAATCAGCCTGTCAAAGACGGGAAAAAATTCAAGTCGCAAGCGAATGCAAAGCCGGTGTAGGAAGGTCACAATAATTGAGTTGTTCGAGGACGGCTTTTAGTGATAAACACGAACGAATAACCTTCCAGGACAGGTCTAGTACTATGCCACATGTAACTTACTTTGGTTTACCTCTACTGTTGGAATACTAAACGAAGAGATGATAGAGCGAGGTATTGGGAGTGTAGATTTACCTCATCCATACAATGTGATGGACTCGTATGACTGTTATTTCAAAAATAGTCGTCAAATTGGTTACTGAGGCCTAAGCATTATGTATCCAGTCTAATGTTAAGTTACAAAGATTGTTACTAGGATATAGGGGAAATGAATTTAATGTTACTGGTACTTGGCACACCGCAATTCACTTAACTTGCCGTTTCACCTATATATTTATCTCGTATTGCTGTTCCATTCTTCCGTAAACTGAAAGTAATTTAACTGGCAGGTCCAAAAACGAACTAATAATGGTCGACATATGGCTGTTTTAATGTACGGGTTAATGGAATAGAGAAATCCGTATGACATTAAAACAGACGCAGATGCGGACAAATGGTCGTTAATTTTTATATCTAGTCTTCTTTGCCGTACAATTAGATGTTCTTTTACGTATTATGAATCACCTACCAAAACAGAAGTATCCTTTTCATAAAATAGGCTACACGCAAACAGGGTGATTTAAGTGTCTTTTGTCTGACCAGCAATGCATTGATATAACATTCAAGAATAAGCCTATCATACCATCTGTGGATTCGTTAGCTTGTATTCCATTTCCTCTGTTGTTATATCCTCCTAAAAATAAAATGGAAATAAGGTTGAAACTTATTCGATATGTAGCGATGAAAAACCGGTAGGTTTTGAGGGCTGAGTGCAGTACTTAGACTGAGATCTGAAACATCTCAGGAACAAGCCAAATTTAGAATGTTGTGCAAATTAGGATGAAAAGGTGATGTTGAACATAACAGCCGTCAAAAAGAAAATAATTTAAAATTGGAAATTGAAAGGCGTTTGGTGCGCATCACTGTGGATATGATGGAAAGTCACAAAGGCTCCCTTACCGTTGCACGACAATAGTGTGAATCAGAAATGAACTTCTAGTTCTTCTCCAAGCACTAACACTTGATGGGGCTCTTCGATCAGCGACAGGGTTCGTCGCCGAGGGATTGTTTATTCTGCCCTATGAAAGGCTGTCCATTAAATGCTCTCTATCCAGATATTGATCTGGGACATCCACTGTCGTAGCTAGTGCTTGCATGACATAAAGTACTGAAGTAATTTTCGAGGATTTCTTTAGTCCACCCCTGTGGGATGGTCAAATACTAACGATGAGTCAGGTCAGAACACGAAAGCTGCATTTGAAACAAACACTCGTGATCATTGTTTCGAAGCGACATATAGGGTCACAAAAATCGCCAGCAAGGAGGGAATTCCAAAGAAGGAGCGATTTGGAATCTAGG